ATATATATATATATATGTATATATATATATGAATATATATATATGTATATATATATTATATATATATATATATATATATATATATATATATATATATTATAATATATATTATATATATATATATATATATATATATTATGTTGTATATGTATATATATATATATATATATATATATATATATATATTATATATATATTATAATTATATATTATTTATATTGATATGCATATATACTTGTAATATTATATGTAAATACAAATGTATATATATATTAATATATATATTATATATATATAATATAGTAAATATATATTATATATTATTATATATATATATATATACTAATAATATATATATATAAATATATATATATATATATATGCCTTCGTACACATAAACAAATGACACAAAGCGAGACAGGAAATCACGTACGACACTTCCCTTCCCCGCGCGACGTCCTTTCCAAAACTCAAAAGAGGAGACGCGAGAAAAACCTCATAATATTCCTCATCATGGTGGTTTCAGACGCTGGTAATTGGTGCCTCATTGAGAGCATCCGGGGGTGTTCACTGACCTAATTAACAAGTTTGGTAAGTCATTAGGCGTTGGGTTTGTTGATTTGGTTGTTAATTCTGGAAGATGTGTAGGAAAGCAGTGTTGGGGGATGGAGCTGAACTGCTTGTCATTGCTCATGTATGTTTTGTTTAATTTACTGCAGTTTGATTTTAGGAAGAATGAGAAAGCTTTAATCGTATAATGAGCTGTTCTTGAATTCTATGAATATGGTATTATAGCCTTCTTTGTGTTCATTTCCTGTACAGAATGTTCAAAATTTCTCTTGTCATTGTGGTTATTTTTGGATTTCTGTATGACAGGAAATTTTATTGTTTTCATCACTGAACGAAGAAAAGTAATTTTGAATAGTGGAAAAGTAGCTGATTCTGTCAAAACATTTTAAATATCCACAAATTGTACATAGAGAATTATGAATGGTTTTCTCCAAATCCTTTTCCTTGGCCATATTTTTCCTCCTCTCTTGGTCTAATGAATCCCATGATAGGTGTTCACAATAAGGCTTCCAGGATATTCATGCTGGAGGTCTATTTGCCTTCACCGGATGGCAAAGCAGAAAGGCTTTAGCATCAGTAGACTTGCACAGCCTTAGGCTCACGAACGTTCATAAGAGATCGTGGACTTCGCTTTACTTGCAGCAGATTATTTGCTCTACCTTAGTATTCTTTTACTCTGACATTGTAACGTGGCATTAGTTACAATGCAAATGTGTTTCAAAAACAGGACTGCATGGAGGTTAAGACAAATTTAATGGGTTAAGCCTTATGGTATGGATGCACTAAGCAAAGGCTAATTGAAGTTGATATTCTTGCAATGAGTTGCAGTTCTCACTTGAAAAATAATTTGCAGACAAGAACAGTAATGTAACAAATAAAGGATAATGATTGCAGAAAGTGCTGCTCCCAACACAAGTCCACTCGGTGCTCCCGGGTTTGTGCTCTATCTTGCATACGAAGCTGAAGTCAATGTTTGTCTGGGGTAGAGTGCCCATTCATATTTCCCCTTAGGCAATCACTCAGCCAAGGTAATTTAAATTGTTGAATAAGGTTTGTGAAGTAGAGTTGGGGACTGAGTTTCTGGCGAGTGTGTCCATTCTGTAAAGAATTACCAAAAAATGTAATAGTCATAAAGGGTAAATAAACTAACACTATTAGGTATGAAGATCATCAGCCCTCAATATGAATGAACCCACAACCACATATCAAAATTTACGATTTATGCCTGAAGTGATGCTGTGGCGTTCATATTTTTTGCCCCTGTAATGCCAAGTGTCGTAGGCCTACCCATATATATCTTTAATGATTAATTGTTAAGTAAGGTACCATTACAAGCTCTGCTTTAATGAGGATTTTTTTGGACCTTCACTGGAGTAGAAAGCAGAGAGACCATGACATTGCTTGATATGACCCTATTCTAGAATCTGCCTAGAACTAAGTCCCCAACTCTACCTAACAATCTTGGGGGACACATGGGGAACTGAGGGTTTTGGGGGAGAATGAAGAGTGGGCTCAGCTTGATTTCAGTGTCAGTAAATGACTGAAGTTAATTATGAATGCAATGAAATGCAACTTTTCGGAAATGTGAGCCAAACCGTATTTACAAAGATCAAAGAAATGTAACTTTTCGGAAATGCGAGATGTGAGTGTCCGATTATGCCGCCATATTTGAATATATGAAAGTGCAAGTGCACACAGTAACTAACACAAAATTTACTGAACTGTCCAAGTTGCGATGACTGGGCAAGACCTTCGGGCACTGCCCAAGGGGAGGTTGATGGGGGGCTCCACCCCCGAGGAAACATTCTCTTCACGTCGGTATGCACGGCAAGATAGAGCTGAAACAGTTTTAAAAAAATTGCACTGCACTTTTCACACTTTCGTTAATTTAGAACAGTCTGTAAATATTTTATGATCTCTTCATTTTTTCCATTAAAAAAAAAAAAAAAATAAATAAATAAATAAACAATAAAAAAAGTCAAGCACACCACCGTAACATAGATGACACACATCGGTCATTATCACTGAGATGAATGAGGCAGGCCACCGGTGTAGCCAGAAATGTGGGTGTTAAGTATCAACTGTATTTGAGTAGTTTGGCAATTAAGGATATTAATAAGTTAGCCAAAATTGAGGATCAACATACACATTTTAACGTAAAAACGGCTGAGATGTGAATATATATGAAACGTTAGTTGATAGTCGTGTGCATTTTCGGGATACAGTATATGGAATATTATACTTGAACTTTAATGAGCAATTAAAAATCTCTGCTAAACTGCCGCCTCCTGATTAGTCGTGAGGTAGTAGTGATGTAGGTGTGCAGTAGGACAGAAGATGGTGTGCAAGCTGCACAGCAACTTGTTCTTTCGCACCGAGCGAGTGGACTTAGCCGCTGGAGCGCCAAGTGGACTTAAGCTGTGAGCGACGCTTTCCGTGACCTTTTTCCTTTATTTGTGGCATTACCATTTGTGTCTGCAGAATATTTCTTGTACCAACCACTATTACTTTTTGTCCTCTACGAGAATATCATCTTCAATTTGCCCCAACTTAGTGTGGCCATACCGTACAGATTTTCCCTAGAATAATGCCATTACTTTAGTAGTAGAACTAGATAGCCTTTTTATGTATATTAAAATGCAGACCAAAAAGTAAAAAAATATATATATAATGCGTAATGGTAGACCTTACCAAATAGACACTTAGATCTTTCATTTTTTCATTTAAGCAATTTGTGCGAATAACTGTATATCTTAAAGAAAGGTTATAGGGTAAACCTGAATACAAAACCAGTCTGATTTTCCTATATCTTTTTAGGGATTTTTTTTTCTCTCTGTCTCATTTTTCCCCCCAAAAATTGCAGATTGTGGATGTTAGTATAGAGTAAGCATGTAAAGTTTGAGAACATTGCAAAATGAGTTATATGGCATGTCATTTGAAAGACTAACATTATAAGCTTTTGCTTGTTTCTTTGTATAAAAATAGTTAATGTCAAGTTGAGATTTATAAATTCAATATTCATATTTTAAATTAACTCTTATGATCCAGGTTACATTACCATCACATCATAAAAAAAATTAGCTTGAGGGGGAGGTGTTGTGAACATGCCGTCCTGATCAAATTTGGCTGTGGGCTGGGGTGACACAAACTTGCTGTTGTGAATATTACGGTTGTAGGTCAGGGTGATCGGAATGATAGATGCTGTTTCCATGCTCAGGGTCCTATTTCTGGTCATCATAACCAGCACCGTAGGTTTTATTACAGAAAATAGAAAAAAAAGAAGTTACTGTATGTTATTATTATTGCACAAAGTCGGTGGTTCCCAATCACAAGGTCGCGACCCAATTGAGGGTCACCATGGTTTTTCTGAGGGTTGCCAGAGGGTCTTAAAAGAAGAATAAAAGAACCCATAGCTAGATATGTCAGTAAAAGTTACTGTTTTTTATTAACACTTGTTTATTGAAATTCAATGTGTTGGTAATATAAAACAATAAAAGTATAGAATATCATAAGCTAATGTGCATCTGCAAGTATAACCACCATGAAAATGGTTGGATATATTATTAAATGATTATACATTTAGGGTTGTTAGCCCAGACTAAGACTCTCTTTAGGGTCACCCCCCAAAAAGTTTGGGAAACACTGCACTAAGTTATGGATTACCTAGAGAGATGAAATAGTCTGCACAGTTATGGATTACCTAGAGAGATGAAATAGTCTGCACTAAGTTATGGATTACTTAGAGAGATGAAATAGTCTGCAAGGAAAGCCTGTCTGGTTAATGATCAAATAGCAAATTTAGACATTGGAAATTGTCAAAAAAAAAAAGCTAAAGATGCTTATACAGAAAAGAAAATAATTGCAAAGGGGAGGCATGGAGTCTTGTCTCCAGACGAGTGTTCATGTGTGACTAGCCTAAAAGATGCACAGCCATCTGAGTGGCCACTCGAGTATGCCTAATGCCCGTATTTTGAGCCATGTGATGACATGAAGCATCCAGATCCAATGGGTTAAATCTAAAAAATCACAACATTCTTGCCTGATGATTACTGTCTTTTATTTCTAATAACTCAAAAAGGTTGATTAACTTTGATGAAATCTATGTACTGTTATTTTATCCCTGAAAGGATGAGATGTCTTACTCTCTGATACAGATGTGACAATATCGTTATAATAAATGTTCACCTGTTACTTTTCTGCCCTGTGCTTAAGGTGACCGTCCAAAAAAATTGGCTAGAGATAACTCATTCATTCTTTTTGCATGATATAGAGTATAGAATTGCCCTGTGTCTCATATATGATTTTAACCAAAAAGTTGAGAAAAAAATCTTCGGTACATCCCAACTCCCAGTTTTTTCCTGACTAATCCCCCAAAGATACTTGGGTTAGATCTACCCTAGCCTAAGGCAGTGTAAATGGCCGATTTTTAAATATCCTTTTTTTTTTTTTCCAGCGTTTAAATTTTTTTATTTTTTGATTAAGGTCTAAATTTAAAAATTGGCCAATTACATAGCGTCAGGGCTCCGAGGCTCTAGCGAAAGCAACAAACTGCATTTAAATTACACAAAAATTACGAGAGTTGGGATGTACCGAAGGTAATATAAACAAAGAATGGAGAAATGGCATTTTATATTTTGGCCGCTGCCAAAGCTCGTTATCTCTGTTATTTTTCTCTAAATCTGATGATTATAAAAAAAAAAAAAAAAAAACTTATTTAGTGTACTTTGCGTTGCGATGGTTACCAAGTCAATCGGAATTATCATTTTCAATAGGGATGCTCTCCTATAAAGTTTTTTTTTTTTTTTTTCCCCCTTTCTTTTCCTTTAGATATACATCAACTTCTATATCTAAAGGAATAAATTATATTAGTTATCCCTACAAACCAGTTTCTTTGATAATTATCATTAGTAACAGATTGCAATGGAAAACAAGTGTAGTTGTTGTTGATTAGCCATTTGTACCAATTATCTTTACTAAGATGTGCATAAAATCATGTAGACACCAAGGTGTGGTTGGATATTTGAGAATTTATGGTACCTAAGACCTACAGTAACGTCTAAATGCAATATTTTTTATCAGAAAGGCATGAAACAGATTCGATAGCTTATTTAACTCCAGACGAAGACTGTGCACTCAAACGAGCTCAAAATTCCTTATAATTTTTATTTCAGAGCAGGTATTACTGCGTACTCTCATCTTAAATATGAAATAATCAGTATCTTGCTTATGCATCCGAAGATCAAAAATCCGACTTTTAGGTACCCTTTGTATTTAATTGCCCTTTACAGTGGTAATGACCAATTACAAATCAAATCAAATTTACCGATGTTGTATTGGAAATATTTCAATCCTTACTTATACGGCTATTTTCAAACATTAGTGCTTCTTACTCTGTATACGTAAGATCACTTCATAAGCTACAACATATTACCAGGGAGTCTTGATGGAAGCATATTTCCTGTGTAAAAGGACACAAAACATTTTTTAGATATATTTCACAAAATATTTCGTCATAAGTCACTGTGATATAATTTTTTCTGATATTGGTATAAAAGTGTTCTTTGAACGTGTATGAACTCATACCTATGCACAATGTCATAATCAAATGCTATATGCACAATTGCAACAAGCAAAAGTCCATGTAGGTGTACCTGGGCGCTCATTAGCGGTGTACTTGCCCAGGTGTTTAGCAGGTCTCGCGATCACTGCCCGCGAACTAGCCATAGCTGGGCTTTAATACTCATTTGGTTGTTTCTTCATTCATGTACCTATACTGTACGCTAGCTAACTCAATTTGACCCTCCCCCCCCATCTGGGACGGTCCCGTGAAAAGTAGAATGCATCTCCATTAGGGATTAACAGCTGCCACATTATTATACTAGTACTAGTTGCATATGTTATTACTAGCTTTAGCATATGTCAATAGCCCTAATTGTGTAGATGTAGAGGGGGAAGTACATAATAATAGTATTAGGTAAAAAAAATAGTCTGCCTAAAGCAAAGGTAAGACCACAATTACTTAAAAGACTTTAGACTTAGTTTGACTTCATTTGACTTATTAGTAAGTCTTTAAATATGATTCCTCTCAATATAAATAAGAAATATACATATAAAGTTCTCTTTATATTTACCAATTTTAATTAAAATTGTTACAATTTTTTAGTGAAAATTTTCTTTCAGGGGTCAAGGGTGTCCAGGTTGAAGAGTTATGGAGTCTTGATGAAGAATCCTTTGCCAAACTCAAGTAAGTGATTAAAATTTCAGCATCAGGAACTTTTTAGTCAGTAACTGTGAAATAATTAAAAGGGAAAGTACTTTTATTCACCTTATCTTTGAGTGCATTGTATGAAAGCTTGTATCTCCTTGATTGTATTGATAAGGTATTTTAAATCCATAAGAAAGGCAGGCATTGAATGCAATTTATTTGAAAAAAAACATATGAGTTGAGAGTTAATGACCTTCTGATTACAGGCCAGTGCATGGGCTGATCTTCCTGTTCAAATGGCAGCAGGAAGAGCAGCCTTCTGGTACAGTTGTCCAGGATAATCGCCTGGATAAGATATTCTTTGCTAAACAGGTAAAAGATTATTTTCGTGTGGGTGGCTTCGATTTTTTTTCCTTCTAGACTTAAAAAAGTAAAGCTTATGTCTGTCTATTTTACATACATTTTTGACTACATTTCTTTAAACATCTTATGTTATGTACTTGTTATGACAAAACCATTTAACTTCAGAGTTCAGTTATCATGACAGAATACTATATATTATAAAATGGCTCGTTACTTCAGTGTCTTAACTTATTCACTTTGGTCAAATTATAAGTAGACTTTGATGCAAAATAATAAGAATCATTTTTAATGTTCCTGAAAATGTTTGAGTGAGGCATATAAAAATATTTTTGTGCTTCCAGATGATAAACAATGCCTGTGCAACACAAGCAATTCTGTCCATATTGTTAAACACCAAGCATCAAGATGTACAGCTAGGTCCAACATTATCAGAATTTAAGGAATTCACACAGACCTTTGATGCTCACATGAAAGGCTTAGCTCTTTCCAATTCGGATACAATTCGGAACGTTCATAATTCGTTTGCTAGGTAAGATATCTGACTTTTGTGGATTTTATGCTACCTCCATAGAATGATAATAAATTTACTGATATGTATAATGACTAAAATATGCATTGACATCGTTAGAAATAAAACTAGCATTTTTAAAAATGACATCACTTTTAACTTTATTTCTTTTTTTGAAAGCTTGTATAATACAAGGATGTAGTAGTAGCTAATGCATTTAAATGTCCATGTCAGGGAGATTTACATTTCTGTCTAATATGCATTAGCCACCATTCTAAAAGAACAACCCATAAGATTTTGTAATTGTTGATTCTGATGATATGAAAATTTTGTAATAATGTGTTTACATATTCTGTTCTCAGGCAAACCCTTTTTGAATTTGAAAGCAAGCAGCCCAGTGAAGATGATGATGTATATCATTTTATTGGATATATTCCTGTTGAGGGGCGTCTCTATGAGCTTGATGGCCTCAAGGATGGACCAATAGACTTAGGCCCCATTTCCCCCGGCACAGACTGGCTCACAGTGGTGCAGCCCGTTATCCAACAGAGAATTCAGAAGTATGGGATTTTGAATAAATATAGATTTATGCAAAAGATGCTATATTTATTGTCTGATAGATATTTTTGTCCATTTTCATAAAGAAAATTATGCAATTGTTTTGGAAGTATTGTTTATATACTACTGTACTTTTTCAGGTTTGGAGAAGGAGAAATTCATTTTAATTTGATGGCACTGGTTAGCGACAGGAAGATGGTCATTGAACGTTCTATTGCCCAACTCCAAAAACAGATTGAGGTAACAAATTGATTTTTACTTTTTTTTTTTTTTTTTTTTTTTTTTTTTTTTGGTTTGCATGAAGATCAAAATTGTAATTTAGTCCTCTATGCCATAAGAGCCCTATAGATCCTTTCCTTAGTAGATAATTATGCCAGTGAATTTTTTTTTTTTTTTTTGACAGATATGTTAACTGTACTTTCAAACATTAACCTACATCCTATGAGGATGAATATATTTGACAAAACCACCCATTAATGCAAATTTAATGTTGCTTCAATATTTGTTTATTTATCCAATGAAACATATTTTACCAATCCTGGTCTTCTCCATTCCTTTTCTCAGGAGAGTGGCATGGACACCTCAGTCCACGAAGAGGAGCTGGCACAACTCCGAGCTTCCTTGGAGAGTGAAGAAGGCAAGAGATCAAGGTGGCAGGTGGAGAACATCCGCCGCAAGCACAACTACCTTCCCCTCATAGTCAATATGATGAAAATTTTAGCTGAGGAAGGGAAGCTGCTCCCGATTTATCATGCTGCTAGAGAAAAGGCTCGAGCCCGCCACGAGAAGGAGAAGGAGAGGAAAAAGGAGAAGGCCAGTGCTTGACAGGGAAAATTAATTCCAGTAATAAGCCAAAAATTTGAGCCAAATCCATGTTATCATAGTGCTGGAGATATTGAAACAATGGTTGCTGTGTCCAGAGTGTAATATCCATGGATTATGTATACAACAACAGAAAATGTGTGAATGCACTTAGAAAAGTGAGCACATTAGAAACAATTTTTGAGTTCAGTGTTTTCAAGTTAGCTATTTATTTGAGGAATATTTCAAATGCTGGGATCTTCTTGCGTGAAGAAGTTCTGAATTTCAAATACCAGATAGTGAATTGTTATCAAAGACTGACATTAGATTACCAGTAGAAACTGAATGTTGTGAAAAAGATTTAGACTATTTAAATTAGATTTTCTATATGAGAACCTGAGAGTATACTTTTTGAGAGTAATATAATAGTGATTTTATATTATTCCAAGTGTTTAAATTGTGAGAATGACAGTTGTAAAGGCAATGTGCTAAGTGACTAATAAAATAGTGCATGGTACACCAAGTGAAATTTTTTCCCACGTCGAAGTAGACCACGTTTAAAATTGAGATACCTAGTTCCCATGAGCTGTAGCATATGAGCCTCACTATTATGATGACATAACATCCAATCTTGGGCTGCTTGTGTTACTCAATGTGCTACTTTTTTCCCTTTGACAAAGCTTATGCTTTGTTATTTACAACTAGTTTTCTTTAATGTAGGTTAGTGAAAACAGATTATAATGTGAAATAAGAAAAGAATAACATTAATGAGTTTGTAAAAAGAATCAATGGCTTGTATGGTGCCCCATTTTTATAATTGCACAAAATAAAGTGAACCACTTGCATTGATGGTGATGACAAGAGATTTTGCAGATTTCAAAATTATATATACTTGAATGTATTACTAATCAATACAAACCTGTTAATGTTTTCATGTAAACACAAAACAGAAAACTTGGGTGGAGTAACAGTATCATAATAGTAACCATAGTTGCTGAATTGAAATGAGAAAAAATATTATATTTTTTTTTTTGCCTGCATGGCCCCAGTGACAGATATACTATAATTCACTCAATCGCCCTACCCTCCTCTTTATACTAATTTCTGCTTTAGTTCACTTGCTCCCCTATCCCCCTTTTCACAAACTATTATTATCTATAACGTTCTTAAACCTTTGATATCGAACACATTTTATCATAATCTTTAACTCTCCTTTGCCCTTTCTGATGCAATACTTTACCATAGTGCTATATGACCTCTGATGTGTAGCACATTTATTTTCAAACATTAAACATTAAAAATTTGCCTGCATGGCATGTGTATGTGTTGATATATTTATATTACCTTACAAAGTCTCATTACTAATCTCCCCTTCCAATCCTGTATGCATTGTTTTCATGTAGGGGCTTAGGAGATGGAGATTGAGGTATGGGATCACCCCTTTATCTTGGACCTCATCCCTTGAATCAACTGATTTTGCATGGTCTGTTCTTCTCTCCCTTTCCCTTTCTTTCTCTTCTTCATCCCCTTCTGTCTACATCCTAAAGTGTGAGGGCCATGTTGAAAGGATGAAAGACTGGCATTGTGCTCTTCTCTGTAGACTTTTATTACCATACTAACCTACAGCAGTATACTACCTTATATCTTATATATAATTTATTTTTTTTCACCACAATATCTCTTCATAGTGTCTGGCAGATTTATTTGTTTTGACCATTAACCATTGTGGGAATCCACAAACATTGCCATGTGGACCAAAAAGAACTTACCTAGGACTTCATCCCTATCACTATAAGACCTTTGTGTTTACAACATCAAGTATTGGATTTGATCATTTGGTTCTGAATTAATTCTTTTGTCAATCACATAAAATTTATCAACCCAAATACTTGTTATTTACAAGATTACATTGGGAATACCTTTCATGCCTTCATATGCCAAGTTGCAAGTGGCCCTATATTTTCCATTCGGTTTAAATACGGTGAACTACTAGCAAATTAGTCATCTATGAACTACTTTTTGAAGGACAGATTAACTATGCAACAAGAGAACGGTGTATCTAGAAAATGTTGCACATTAGTCTTATGAAGTATGGTCTTTAAGAAAAATTCCCCCCCCCAATCCCTTGCCCTTTGTTGTCGTGGGGAGGCTTAGGAGACGGAGACTGAGACCCAATGCAGGGATCTCCCCTGCCTAGGGGTTAATCCCTCGATTCAACTAATTTTGCTTGGTCTTCTCTCCCTCCATCTTTCTGTGTTTCTTTGACCACGACTTTGAACACTGAAACTACTACCCACTCCTCAATGCCTACAAGTGCATTATCCACCATTATGTCCAGAAGACATTCCTACTCTCCCAACTTCCTCAACTTCATCACCTCTACCCCTACAACCTTCTCCATCAAACACCCCAACCTCCCTTCTTACTACCTTACAGCTTTATTCTCCATCTCCGTAATACTACCCCCTCAACAACACCCTCTTCCACACGTTCCCGTCCTTCTACGACCACCAACCCTACAGATATCTTAAATACTCTATTGAGCCCAGCTAAATGGGGCCGATTTTTCGTAATCCTTTTTACAGCTCTTTACTCAGGCAACACTTCTCTTTCAACAATGCCTCCAAAAACATAGTGGGCAGAGTCCCTTTCCATACCAGACGCGATCGCTCCCGTCTCGTAACAGTCGGATCTGAAACTGAAGCTATAGCTTTATCAAATCTAACTGATCACTCTGGCAACTCCATTCCTGCAGAACCTCATCCAACTCTTAATACTTGTACCGGAACTGTCTCTATCTCCCCAGCAAACTGTCCAGTCGATGCCAAAGATTGGCCAGATTGTGGAGAAGACTTACTCGAATGCCTTAAAGACCAAGACGTGAAATCAGTACATTGCTAAACCATTCCTCCTAGAGGTCATCGAAAGAAACCCACCAACATTGCCAAAATTACTTTCAGTACACATGACCTTCCCGTTCGTATCTACATTGGTGGACAATCCCTCCCTGTTCGACCATACCAACCTCCTCGTCCATGTCAAAACTGTTGGCGATTTGAACATCCTGCCAAACACTGCCGTTCCACAGACCGATACCCCCAATGTGCCCAACCCGGTCATAACCGATCAAACTGCTCTGCACAAACACGTACATGTGCTAACTGCGGCGGCCCCCATAATGTATTTTATAGAGGCTGTCCCACTTACAAGTTCGAGTCTGAGGTAGCAACTCTCAGATACAAAAATGGTCTCACTCTACGTGAAGCCAGACAGGAAATACGCCAACAAGGTTTCTCTTGTACTCCCTACTATAGATATGTCGCTCGCTCTGCCCCTCCTCTCCACCTCAAGATGTTCCTACACCCTCCCCTATACCTACTTACTTCCCCACTTCCACTTCTACATTCTACCTCCCCCAGTCAAATTCTTTTGCTACTCTAAACCCAGACACTCCAATCTCAACTACAACCCCAACACCTTCCCTTCTAACTCCCCGCACTACCCGCAGCAGACTAAACGTCTGCTGCTACACACTCATCTTCACCTACCTTTGCCTTTATTCTTCAGACAGGTCTCCACTTCCCTCCCTTATAAGAAAACCTTTGTCTCACAAAACTCTCCAATCAACTTCACTGCAGATCAGTTGGAAGATATCCAAAACTATATGCTTGAGACACAAAATTCCACAACTCATGCTCCCTTCATACTTGAAGTGACTGCCGATATCCCTTTCTGGTTCTCTCTCTCTCTCTCTTCTCTCTCTTCTCTCTCTCTCTCTCTCGTCTCTCTCTTCTCTCTCTCTCTCTCTCTTCTCTCTTCTTCTCTCTCTCTCTCTCTCTCTCTCTCTCTCTCTCTCTCTCTCCTTCTCTCTCTCTCTCTCTCTCTCTCTCTCGCTCTCTCTCTCCTCTCCTCTCTCTCTCTCTCTCTCTTCTCTCTCTCTCTCTCTCTCTCTCTCTCTCTCTCTCTCTCCTCTCTCTCTCTCTCTCTCTCTCTCT